GCTCTTCCAGAGTGCAGTGGGGTCTTGCCTGGTGTCGGAAGATAACAGCCAGAACCTGGGCGTGGTGCAGATTAGTCCTCAAGCTGCAGCAAATGGGTCCTTGAGCATCGTCTATGTCAACGGTGGCAAGTGTGGGAACCAGCGCTACTCCACCAGGATCACCCTCGAGTGTGCTCACACAGCGGTGCGTGCGCAGCGAGCAAGGCGTGTCCCGTGTCGTTTCCCACGTCTCCAATGCCAGAGTCTTCTGTCTGACTTCAAGTGTCCCTGTGTTTTTGTGGATTTTAGGCTATCAGTAGGGTTTGACCGGAATGTATTATTTTCCCCCAGGTCTTATATGGTTAAGAAGTGCTGTATATTTTACTCATGGAGGTTAAAAGTTGGATATTAATTGTGGCTGTCAGTTGACTGATTTTAAGAAATTTTATTTTATTTTATTAGTAGTTTCAAGTGTACAGTACACTGGTTAGACATTTACATAGTTTATGAAACGATCCCCCTGATTGCTCTGTCTTCCCTCTGGCCCCCCACCCAGCCATTACATCACTGCTGACTGCGTTCCCCGTGCCGTGCTCCCCATCCCCGTGACCATCTCTCGACTACTGATTTGTGCTTCTTTAACCCTTCACCCCTTTCTCCCAGCCCCAACCCCTCTCCCCTCTGGCTGTCACCAGATTGTCCTCTGTATTTGTGAATCTGCTTTCCATTAGTTTGTTCTTTTTGTTCTTTAGATTCCATATGTAAGTGAAATCATATGGTATTTACCTTTCTCTGACTTATTTTGCCCAGCATAATAACCTCTAGGTCCACCCATGTCGTTGCAAATGGTAGGATTTCATTTTTTTTTTTTTTTTTTAAGGCTGGGTAATATTGGTTGCTTCCATATCTTGGTTATTGTAAACAGTGCTGCCGTGAACATAGGGGTGCATAGATCTTTATGAATTATTGTTTTGGTTTTCTTTGGATAAATACCCAGAAGTACAATTGCTGGGTCAAAAGGTAGTGTTTTTTTAAATTTTTTAAGGAACCTCCAAACTGTTTTCCATAGTGGCTGTACCAATTTGCAACCCCATCAACAGGGTTCCCTTTTCTCCACATCCTTGCCAACACTTGATTTTTGATTTATTGATGATATCTCACTGTGGTTTTAATTTGCATTTTTCCAATGATTAGTGATCTTGAGGATCTTTTCATATGTCTATTGGCCATCTGTATTTCGTTTTTTGGAGAAATACCTATTCAGGTCTTCTGCCCATTTTTAAATTGGATTGTTTTTGTTGTTGTTGAGTTTTATGAGTTCTTTATAGATTTTGGATATTAACCCCTTGTCAGATGTATCATAGGCAAATATCTTCTTTCATTCATCAGGTTGTCTTTTTGTTTTATTGATGATTTCTTTTGCTGTACAAAAACTTTTTAGTGTGATGTAGTCCCATTTATTTTTTCTTGTTTCCCTTGCCTGAAGACATGTATTTGAAAGAAATTACTGTTAGTAATATCAGAGTTTACTGCCTATGTTTTCTTCTAGAAGTTTTATGGTTTCTGGTTTTACATTTAAGTTTTCATCTATTTTGAGTCTATTCTTGTGTATGGTGTAAGAAGGTGGTCCAGTTTTTTTTTTGTTTTTTTTTTTGCATGTACCTGTTCAATTTTCCCAGCACCATTTATTGAAGAGTCTGTCTTTACCCCATTGTATGTTCTTGCTTTCTTTGTTTGTCAGTGAGCATATAGGCCTAGATTTATTTCTGGGCTCTCTCTTCTGTTCCATTGATCAATGTTTCTATTTTTATGCCAGTACCATGCTGTTTTGATTATTGTAGCCTTGTAGTATAGTTTAATATCAGGTAGTGTGATCTCTTCAACTTTCGTCTTCTTTCTTGAGGTTGCCATGACTATTCAGGGTTGATTTCTTTTTAAATAAATGAAAACAAAGTCAGCTGTTGCTTTCTATTACAGGGGTCACCAATGTTTCAGCTTCTAGATGGCTGTGAGTACGTGTTTCTCTGGAGAACGGTGGAAGCCTGTCCCGTTGTCAGAGCAGAAGGTAAGGCCCAGGGCCCAGCTCCTGAATGGCTGTGAGTGTATGAAGTGGCAGGCATTCTGAATAGCACCTTAGATGTGAAACCCCATAATGATGGCCACTTGCGTGACCGTGAAATGCTCTTTAATGAATGGGTTTTTTTTTTTTTTTTTTTACTATCTAGGGAATTACTTTTTTCAGTTATCATTGACGTACAATGTTATGTTTCAGATGTTAATGTAGGGATTAGATGCTCCTGCATTTACTCCACTACAGCCCGTGGCTTTACCAGCGACGTCTCCCACATGTCATCTGAACTGATGGGGTCATTGGCTTTCCACACACGAACACTTTACCATGGGGTTTTATTTTGTTAGATGAAGCAGATCTTTATCCTGTGACCTAGGCTTTTCTAGAATGCCATTTGCCAGGCATTCTCTACATACACACACACACACACATATATATATGTGTATATATATATACACATATACGTATATGTGTATAAACAGAGTGGGCTAATGTGGAAATGCCTAATGCCTATTTTAAGATAGTACTTGCTTGATTGAAAATTGTGCACCTTTTTGCCTGCATGTGTGACTGTGCGTGTAGCTGCGATGGCCCATCACTTGTGTGTTTTTAAAGGAGACAACTGTGAGGTGAAGGACCCACGGCACGGCAACCTGTATGACCTGAAGCCGCTCGGCCTGAATGACACCGTCGTGCGCTCCGGCGAGTACACCTACTACTTCCGGGTCTGTGGAAAGCTGTCCTCGGATGTCTGCTCAACCGATGACAAGTCCAAGGTGATCTCGTCCTGTCAGGAAAAGCAGGGGCCGCAGGGATTCCAAAGAGTGGCAGGTACCACGCCTTTCCTTCTGCTTTTGTTGCAAAACAGCGGATTCCACGTGTCAGGTGATGCGCGGAAGAAAGCGTCAGTGCGTCTGTCTTGAGCGGGAGGGTCGGCTGCTGCGTTCTCATGGAACTGGCTTAATCGTGTGATTTCTGACGGTCTCAACCAGAATTCTTGGTGACGAATGTTGCCAGCGCTTATAGCAAAACCAGTTATCGATTCTAAGATCTTGTTTTTTTTCTTTATTGCAACATTGGGACACACCGAACTAGCCGAGGCAGTACTTTCTAGAACTGGGTCAGAGGGGGCACATTTAGTGAAGGGTTGACTGTGAACCTCACAGGGCAGGCTGTTGGTCACCACACTGTCTCTTTAGTTGGGCAAGTGATAATGAGTTTACGGACCTTTAAAAAAGAAAGTGAAGTCGCTGGCATGGTGAGTGTGTGGACAGCCCTTTAGGGGCCACGTAGAGGACGTGACTTCCTCTTGGCTTACGCCTGTGTGTCGTCCTCCCTGTGGTCTGTCTGCAATGTTGCAGCCTTGGGTGAGAGCAGCTGGCTTCGTCCTTCCTGCCATCTAACGTGGCGGGGAGCGAGTGGTACGTGCCTGGCATACTCGGCCACCTGTTTATTCAGAGCGCGTGATGTAACGTGTCCGTTATGATAAGCATGGCGTCCTGGGGACTTCCCGAACCAATCCTTGTTTAATTAGCTGCTTCTCGAACAGGTCTCTTTACTCAGAAACTGACTTATGAGAACGGGTTGTTGAAAATGAACTACACCGGGGGGGACACCTGCCACAAGGTGTACCAGCGCTCCACAACCGTCTTTTTCTACTGCGACCGCAGCACCCAGAAGGTGAGGGCCTGGGGCCCGCAGCAGGGTCTCTGCGGTGGGGTGGGCCCGCATCACCCCGCTGCCCCTGTGTTTATAAAACGAGTCCATGCATAGGTCTCATGAGGCCTCCATACCTCGGTTAAGTATGTTATTTACAGGAAGCGTGTGTGGAACCTTGATCAGTTTGCATAGATTATAATGAACACAGTCACCCTTACTAGTTTCGTCCTCGAGACTCACCGTGCAAACTAACGTGTCTCTGATAACCTCTCCAGCCCGTGTTTCTCAAGGAGACGTCAGATTGCTCCTACTTGTTCGAGTGGCGAACACAGTATGCCTGCCCACCCTTCAACCTGACCGAGTGCTCGTTCAAGTAAGTCGTGCCTGTGTTCATGCGTTTGGACTCGATAACGCCGGACGCTGGACAGGATTTTGCTTTAATAGTGGGTGGTTTGGAGGACGGGGAAGGTTGGTCAGGTAATCGCCCTGTGTCTTCCTTCATGGTAAAGTGAGGGGCCGGATCAGGTTAACTCCAGGGTCCTTCACAACTGAGAGTCTGGTTATTTTGCGTTAAGGTGCATGTAGGGAAGTGATTGGAGCTGAAGCATAACACCTGGCATGATTCACAGGTGTAAGTGGAATAGGGTGACCAGGATGTCACCTGGCCTCTGCTCCTTTCTTGGACGCTGCTTGTCCAGGGACACAATGATGAAGAGAGGGTTATGGCACAGATGCACAGGTCGGAGTGTCAGCATGAGGGAGGTGACACCCGACCATCAGGTTCTTGGTGGCTGTCAGTGGCTCTTTATCTCTTTGTGCCTGTGGCTCACATTTGCTCCTGGAATTGTGTGCTGGACTACCTGTGAGATGAGGCAGAGGGCTTCAGTGTGTGTGAGTTCCGACAGTTAACCTCATAACTATTACGAAGTGGACGTCTTGGATCTTATCCCTGGAGATTTTGGTTGTGTAGGTCTGCTGTTCTGAATATTTGAGGGGCATGCTGGCAGTTTTGCTGTGTGAGGACCCACCCCTAAAAGAATTGCTGGGTTACAGCATTCCTGGGGGAAGATTCAGTCATTTTCATATTTCTTTCCAGTCTTTAGCCTGTTGTTACCTCCTTGTATTTAGGTAAAGTAATAATTTTTGGAGTTTTTTAGTAACGTATGGAAGTGGCATACATCTAGTAACCTGTGTTTAGCAACTTTAAATCATAATCCAAGTTTAATAATGTTAACTTTTTCAGTTAACATTTCATAAGCATTTTCATGAGAAACAAATTTATCTGTTATTCCTCATGAACAGGAACTAATCTCCCGAGCGGATAGCCCTGATTTACTCAGCCATTATCTGACTGTCATTTGAGGCTATCTTCAAAGACTTGAGACTTTCTGATGTTTGTGTACAAGAATTTTTGCTATTCTTTGTATGTAAAACTTTTTTCCCCAAAAATATTTTTTCTAAGTTTTTAAAGTAGAATTAAGTCAAAAGGAAATTGAGTAATCAGTTAAGATTAAAGTTTATACTTGCATATTGTAATAAATTCATGAGAACAGAAATGTGTATAACGAAGTAAGCTTCTGCCACCCCTGTCCTCCCTGTCCTCCCCTCAGCCTCGCTCCGCTTTTCCCGTATCTTCCTAACAGTTCTTTCTGGAGCCTTCCATGACTCTGAATGATATTTAGACCCATTTGTCAGCCTCAGATGGTATCAAACCTGTCTTAAAAGATGAGATGTGTAAGTCGTGTGTGCTGTCCTTCCCTGTCCAGCCCACCCCTCTTTTATTACTTCTATTTTTACTTCTTCTCTTGGGTACCTTCAGAACATTAGACGCTCTAAGCTCTGTTTCTTGTTCCATCTCTTTTAGACAGTGGCTGTTTATTTCCTGCCGCGATGAGGGCTTCAGATGCTGCCTCCCCTTCTGCTCTCCCCCGCAGCGTTTCCGCGGCCACCTTCATGCCGCTGGCACATTGTCAGGGTTTAGAACACGTGTGTGATGTTGAGAAACACTAACGGTCTTCCCTACTTTATTTGTAGGGTGATTCTAAAGCATTAAAAACTAAGAAACAGCACTAATAACATTAGGTAAACATCATTTACTGCAAAATCACATGGTATGATTGGACTGCAGAGAAGGGCGTAATCCTGTGTCACTCAAGCCTGCCCTTTTGGAAGGAAAATAGGCTAAGTGTTGAGGTCGGAAGATCTTCATTCCTTCTGTTTCATAAATTGCTCCAAAGAAGCAGGCCCCACGTTAGCTTCCTTCGTATTTGGAACAGCTGGCACCTCGGTAGCTGCTTAGTCTCGGCGTTCTGTGCCTTCGCTCATGCCGTTGACAGAATAATGTGCGTTGCCTCGTAGGTGAGGGAGGCGGGCTCTCCGTGATGCCACGTGCCTTCCCGAGGGAGGCTCGGGCTCCCAGCCGGTTCTTGGACTTTCCGTTCTTTTCCATTCTGTTAGGGTACGTTCTCACACACGCGAAAGGTGGGGTGGGAGGGAGCCCGTGGTTTTTCTGAAAATGGCATAGTTTTGCTCTCAGATCTAGTTAGCTGAGTGTGGGATTATAGATTGAAAATAAATGCCCTCCATTTTGAAGGCATTACCTTGTTTTCTACAGGCACTTTGTGTGGCTGGCGAAAAGTTTGTTGCTGATTTTCTTCTGTCTCTGTGTTTTTATGCTGTTCTGAAATGTTTTTTGAACTTTTTCTACTAACTATCCTTTGGAAATTTTTATTTCTATTGAGTTCTAATGACTACTGAGGATACTAATTATAACTTTTTTACTTTCTTTATTTAAACCTTACCATTTATTCCCTGAATTATAATTTATTTTCTTTTAACAATTGCCTTAAATATGTATCCCTGACTTAACAAAAACTAAAGGCAACCAGACCAGTACCTCTACCCACCTCAGCGGTAAAACAGCGTCAGCACCGAGCCCCGCTCCCCAGCTCCACGGTGCGTTGTCCGGTGTTTTACCTCTGACGCGTTGTCTGTCACGCAAAGAGGTCGTTATTGTGGTTCTTAAAAAGTAATCATTGGTTCTTTGACTATAAACGTTTCTTTTTATAAAAAGAAAAAAAGAAATCTATCACTTTCTCTGACTTACTCTTCCCTTTTTGCATCTTACCCCTTCCTTTTGATCTAATTGTCCTTCTCGAAGTACTTTGTTTAGCGTAGTGCTACGCACAGTGCTGGCTGCAAACTCTTTGCTCTGGTCCCTGACGGGAGAAGGTGCTTGCACCAGGACGTGAGCCAGCTGTGTCACCCTCCCACCGGACAGCGCGGGAACCAGTGTTTGGATTCCGCATGCCATCGCTGGCTGATCCCGGGATGCAAACCACACTTTGAGTAACACTGCCTGGCGGGATTCACATCTTGGTATTTATTTGAAAAGGCTTAGTTTTATCTCACTAGCTGAGTACAGAATTTTAGATTAATAGTGTTGTTTGTTTGGTTTTTCTTTTTAAGTCAGCACTTTGGACTTCTAGTGTAGACTGTTCCTGTTGGAGAGTCTGCTCTCTGTTGGTTCTGTTTTCATTCCGTTGTAGATAAGCTATCTAGATTTTCTGTATATATTTTTCTTGTGTTTGTTCATTCTCAATATGGCGGGTTTATGTGTGGTTTTATTGTTATTTTGTTGCTTGGAAGTTGGTGCTTTCTAAAACTAAAGATGCATGTCTCACTAATTTTGGAACATTTGCAGCTAGTATGTCTTTGAATGTTGCCTCTAACCTAGTCTGTTCCTTTCCTTTGAACTTCTGTTAATTGTATCTTAGTCACCACATTCTGTCCACGTGTCTTTTAATATCTTTTTCATCTGCTTCTGTACTATATTCTATTTCCTTAGAGATATTTTCCAATTTTCTGATTCTCTTATCAGCTGGTTTTAATTTGCTGTTTTGGCTGTTTGTTTCCTTTTTAATTTTCATGACTGTTTCTCATTCTAGACGTTTCGTTTGGCACTCTAATTTTTTTCCCCCAACCCATCCCCATAGGGTTACGTTCTTTTATTATAGTTTCTGTCCCTTCTTTTCTGACTCCGAACACCTGCATTTCTCACAGGACCAGTTAATGCCAGCTCTGTCCTTTGCTCCCTTCTCTCTCACATCCCACTTATGACCTGTTAAGGTCCGTTAATCCTCGAGATATCTGGAACGCTCTGTTCTGGAAGCACCACGCCCTGGCTCAGGCTGCCTTCACCTTGCACCTGCATCACGCAGTGGCCTCTCAGTCGGCCTTCCTGCCTCTGCCCCTGCCCCACGTTGGACTAGTCCGTCACAGCGGTTAGAACGGCCCTGTTAAAATGTGCGCGATCACGCCAGCCTTTGGCCGGCGCCCTGATCCAGTGCAGTGACTCTCTTGCCTCATTTGGACCTGTGAGCTGAAGTTCTCACTGCGTGCCGACCGCCACGCGATGTCCCCTGTGCTATTTGCACCTCCTCCCCTGCCGTTTTACTCTCTCGCGTCTGCTCCAGCCACACGGGGCTCTTGCTTTTCCTCGAACGTGCCAGGCTCGCGGTGCCGCGGGCCCTTTGCTCTTGCTGCTTCCCCCGCCTGGCTTTCTTCACTGGGTCCCCGGCTGACGGGCGATGCCATGGCTTTCAGAGTTTGTTTCAGAGGTCACCTTCCCAGTGAGACCGTTTCCGACCACCCTGTCTAAAATCTCAGCTCTTTCTCCCCCACCCCCAAACTTCTTATCCCCCTTCTCCGCCTTTTTTCTCTTCAGCTCTAATTACCACCCGATAGGACCGATCCTGTTTATTGTCTTTCTTTCGCTGTAATTCCTGGGAACTTTATGAGACAGGTGGCTTTTATTTGCTTTGTTCGATATGATATCCCAGCCTAGCATGTTCGTTCTCCTCCGATGGGCTCTGGCCTAAGAGAGTGGTGTCTGCGATTGTCCATCTGTCTTCCTGTGCCCGGACCTGGTGCCTCACGGAGGCTGCGTGTTGGTTTTAACCCACCGTTAACACTGCGCCTGGGGCGGGGGTGGCTCTCAGTGACGGTCTGCACCTGGGACTGCGTAGTGAGTAAGCCTTCAGCCCATTTTAATGTCAGTGACCGTTGGCGGCCTCAGCTGTCAACGGCAGGTGGCCTGCTCCTGAGGATGGTCTGTGCTGAGGGTGCTCTCGGCATCTGAGCTTAACTGGCATCTTCTCACTGGCCTGAGCGTGGAGAGCACACACATTCCAGGCTTGGCGTTGGGTTTTTGTTGCTGTTGTTAATATATAATTTTGTTGGAACAAGAGTCGTAGCTTCCTGAACTCAGGTTGTTGCTGGTTCCTCCTGGAGCGGGGAGCAGTCCAGTCCAAAGTTCGTTTCTGGGGAGCGTCTGAGTCCCGGGGTGTTGGGTGGGCTGTGTCTCACATCCCGGAGCCTTTACAGACAGAGTGCCACATGCTCAGAGGGCAGCGGAACCTGACTGCCGTGTTCTCTTCCCCGCAGAGATGAGGCTGGCAACAACTACGACCTCTCGTCTCTGTCACGGTACAGCGACAACTGGGAAGCTGTCACGGGGACGGGGTCCACCGAGCACTACCTCATCAACGTTTGCAAGTCTCTGTCTCCACATCCTGGCTCGGGTGAGGCGGCTCTCGGAGGGCTGATGGCTTGCTCAGGCTATGGGGGAAGATGGGGTAGGAACGGTTGCTTTGAAGGTGCCTTCCTCTCTGTGACACGAGAGATTTGGCCAACAAGCAACCTGAGGAATTAGTTAAGGGTCTTAATGACCAATTCCCAGGGTGGTCTAGGGTAAATCAGTGCGGAAGCCTCTGCTGGGAGCATTACAGACTTCTCTGAACACGAGGAGTTAGAGGTGGGTAGAAATAATCATGGTGGCAGATAATTATTCTTAGCAGGATAGGAGATGACAGGGCATGAAATGGAGACAGTGTGTGTCCGCTGTTTGTTGAGAGGAATGTGGGTGGGTGGTCCTTTAATGATGTAAGAGCCAGCTCACCCGAACCTTACTGCCGGCAGTGAGAATGGAAGTCTCTCGTACACGTGGGGCTGGGAGCAGTCCTCAGTGACCTGGGTGCCCACCACAGTCTCTGAAGGTGCAACTTGTCCTGTTTTCTTGAAGTTTTATACAGCTCCACCCACATCTCGTGGGGTTCAGCTCAAAGGGGGCACCGTGTTTTACCTGCAGAGAGTGGTTTTCATTCTCCGCACGGCTCGAGGCTGTGGGCCCCCTTCCCCTTGGACTGTGCTGGGCAGGTTGGTGACACCATGGTCTTAACCCATGAATACTTCTGTGCCTGGAGCAGGTGGCACAGATATTTTGGGGCCTGGAAAATCAGTAGAGTTCTTAATTAAAGATAGAAGACAAATGTACGCCATTTAAAATGTTCCTTTAGATTTATGAATTTTAGCTTCATTATTTTTGAGGTTCAGAAGTAATTCAAGCTGTTAGGCCTTGAATTCTCCCAGCATCCCATGCCTCTCCCAAATCCATCTCTGGTCAAACATCATTTAAATGAGAACTCATATGGTATCACTGTCGTCTGATTCTTTAAAAGGAAGAGATTATTTTGGAGCAACTGTGAAGTCAAACACGCAGCATATCTGACTTCACTTGCCAGATTTAAGTTCTGGACTGGAAGGTGACCGAAAGGTGACATGTTTCTGGTCATGTTGCAGAGCCGTGCTCCCCGGAAGCGGCCGTGTGTCTGCTGGGTGGCTCCAAGCCTGTGAACCTGGGCAGGGTGAGGGACAGTCCCCAGTGGGTGGATGGCGTAGCCGTCCTGAAGTACGTTGACGGCGACTCGTGTCCAGACCAGATTCGGAAAAAATCGACCACCATCCGACTCACCTGCAGCGAGAATCAAGTCGTAAGTGACACAGCTTTCTCCGCCCTGGTGCTGCTGCTGTGGGGACGGTGGGAGTCGAAGGGTCACCCTTCCATTGGGATGCGAGCCGAAGGGCTCGGATGCAGCTGAGCTTCTCAGCGGCTGAGAGGGCGGCTCCCCTCAGCACTCTGGTCCTGGAGGACCGTTCTCTGGCCCCAGGACGCCTGACCTGGCAGTCGCGGCTTTGGAATCCATTGGTTCTCTAACGTGTGACTCGGGTTCTCAAAGGCTGTAGAGACACCGGCATTGGACGACGCGGCCTTTGTCTTCGTGGAGGCCGTGCGGGAAGAGCCGGCGCTCGGATGGGCCTGGCTCGCAGGCAGCCCCCTTCCCACCGGTGGGGCTTGCTGGCTGACTTTGCCGCCGTAACTGTCCGCCTGTCAGCACGAGCCATACCTGAGTTGTCACGTTGCCGTGAGGGTTGGAAGAGGGGTCAGGGCCAGGTGTCATTTTTGGCGCGTGGTCGGTGCGCAGTCCATGGGGCTGGTCCCCGCTCCGTGGTGTGACGGACCCCTTCCCAGGCCGGGTGGTTCTGGGCAGCTGAGCGGGTTGGACCGAGAGGATGGTGTCCTGGGACCATCGTTCACCACGGGGCTCTGCACACAGCGGGTTAAGGCAAAGCCCATGCACCTCGTGTGTGATGGGGGTTGCAGCGGGTTTGGGGGCAGGGCCACACTGGACCCCGTGCCCACTCTCAGTGGTGGGAGGAGCGCAGGACAGGCAGCTTGGGGCCCTCAGGGCGTGAGTGGCCGCTGAGGTCCCCTTGGGGAAGCCTGTGCCTGGACCGGGGGCTGCTGGGCTCTGGCTGGAGCTGGGGCTCCATGGCTGAGCTGAGGGTCGGGGCCGAGGAAGGGAGCTGGCCGACGCGTGGAGGGGCCGTGAGGGCGCTGGGGGAGGCCGGGCTGCGGTGTGGCCCTGCCGTGGCCGAGCAGCACAGTCGTCACGGGGTGGGCACATGCTGAGCGAGTCCCCACAGGTCTGTGGACGAGAAGCCCCCGAGACTCACACAGCAGGCCTGGCCATGCGGGCCAAGCGGCGCGAAGAATTGCTGGCCAGTCTTTTCATTTTGCTCACAGTAACACATTTCAGTTCATTTGTTTTTCAAAACGTTAGCATGATGTGCTCATTTGTGACTCACAGTAGCCCTTCGAGCGTCTTTGTCCACTCTGTCCCCAACCGCCGCCCTGTGCCCTGGTGTCAGGAAACTTCACGGCCCCAGGTGCATTTCTGGCTGCGGGCACGCCTCACTTGCCCTCCCGTGTGTCAGCTGGAGCCACAGTGGTGTCTCGGGCGCACGTCCCGACCTTGCTCTGCCAGATCAGCCCTCCCCCGTCCACACCCGGACAGGAGCCGCGCATGCACGTGCGCATGGCGTCGGCATCGTTGACACGTCGCACCTGTGCCGTCAGCAGCTCCTGTCCTTTGCTCGCAGAACTCCAGGCCCATGTTCATCAGCGCGGTGGAGGACTGTGAGTACACCTTCACCTGGCCCACCTCGGCTGCCTGCCCCGTGAGGCGCATGGAGCACGGCGACTGCCAAGTCACCAACCCCGCCACAGGTGAGGCGCTGCCACTCACCAGCCCCCCACCCCGAGCGGCCAGGTGCGAAGCTGGGCAGCAGGGCACTGTGGGCAGCAGCATCCTGTCCCGTGTGCGCGTTTGGCCTTTCCCCCTAGAAGCAGTCCGGTCTGCGGGCTCGTGGTTCCCCTTCTGTGGAGAGGAGGCTGACGTGTCCCTGAAGCCATGCTCCCCGTGACCTGTTTCTGAAGCTGCCTGTCCCACCAGCTCTAGGCTTGCAGAGCTGGCTGCAGTCAATCTCCTTGTCACCTCTCAGAGTTACTGTGGGATAATTAGGAGCTCCCCAGTGACCTTCTGCACTGGGGAGCCGGGAAGGCAGCTGGAGTGCCGCCATTGGGCCCTCCCGCATCTCGGCTGGAATCCTAGTGGCTGCTGTGGCCCAGCTCTAGGAGGAGGAGGCTGCTATGAGCCGCTATCTTATGGGGAAGGACGAGCCATCTCATAAATTTGGGGACTGATGGCTCTGTGACACGGGGCTACCTAGTCAGCGTTTTTAGGGCCATGTCAGCGAAGCGGGTGGTGACTTGTGGTGAGAACTCAGAAACCCCACCGGCCAGCGTGGTCCATGTGTGAGCACACTGGTGATGGCCTCCTGAGTCTCTGCCCCCTGGAGTCACTGCGTCCCCGTCCCCTCCTTCCGCAGGGCACCTGTTTGATCTGAACTCCCTAAGTGGCAAGTCTGGAACCACCGCCGCGTACAGCGAGAAGGGGCTCGTCTTCATCAGCGTCTGCGGCGAGAATGAAAACTGCGCTCCCGGCGTGGGTAAGGCCCGCGACGCCCTCCCTGCCGCCTGCCTCTCCCGGCCGGGGTCGCCCCTGGCCTCCGTGTCCCTGTGACAAAGAGCTGAGTAGAAGCGAAGACCAAACAGCTTCCTCTCCTGCCACAGTCAGCTGACGTGGCAGGGCGGGCAGTGGGGATGGGGGGGCCACATGATGAAATATTAGATGTGTAACATTTGCTAAAACCACATGGGACGTTCAGAATTCTGCACGTCGGCTGCGGATTTGAAAGTCTGGACGCGCAGAGGGTTCTCGTCAGGAACATGGCCGTTTGGATCCGTAACCGTGTTTTCCCTTCTGCTCTCATGTCCGGTGCAGGGGCCTGCTTCGGGCAGACCAGGATCAGCGTGGGCAAGGCGAGCACGCGGCTGACCTACGTGGACCAGGTCCTCCAGCTGGTGTACGAGGAAGGGTCCCCCTGTCCCTCCAAGTCCGGCCTGAAGTACAAGAGCGTGATCAGCTTCGTGTGCAGGCCTGAGGCCGGGCCCACCAACAGGCCCATGCTCATCTCCCTGGACAAGCAGACGTGCACGCTCTTCTTTTCCTGGCACACGCCTCTGGCCTGCGAGCAGGTGGTGAGTCACCGGAGCACGCGTGGCATCTGAGGAATGCACGCCCAAGGCCTGGGTGTGCCCAAAGCCCAGGTGTCACCCCCAGTTGTACTGCAGTTCACGTGGCCCCTTGGTAGATGCCCAGTGGCTCTCATCCACTCCCGACGGTCCCAGTAAAATTGGTTCACGGTGCCCAGTTAGTGACCAAACGTTTGGGGATATTAATCCACCCTTTATGCTTTTTTTTTTTGTCCAGCTTTTAAATTCTTGGGGGTGGCTTAATGGAGAACTTTACTGTAGTCTCCAGCGAGCTTTTTCCTCTTTCACAGATGGAATGTTCCGTGAGGAACGGCAGCTCCATCATTGACTTGTCTCCGCTCATCCACCGCACGGGGGGTTACGAGGCATACGATGAGAGCGAGGATGACGCCTCTGACACCAACCCTGACTTCTACATCAACATCTGCCAGCCGCTCAATCCCATGCACGGGGTGGCTTGTCCCGCCGGAGCTGCTGTGTGCAAGGTCCCCGTCAACGGTCCCCCCATCGTAAGTGTGGGGGACCCAAGGGTGGAAACAGTTCCTGCAAGATTTGTAACAGTGACCTTCACATTGTATTACCTACTTTCAACAGAGTTAGTCACTCGAGCAGAAAGAAGGAGGAAGTGAGCAGAGTCTCTGCGTGTTGCGGGACCTTGGGGGAGGGTAATAAGGGGTTCGTGAGTCGTCAGCCAGCCATGATGAGCAGGAAGGAGGCCTTTGAGCTGTGGAAGAAAATGTGAACCCGCGTGTGTGGAGACACCCCTCTTCTGTGTCGTGGTGGGAGTCTCAAGGTTGACCCCGATCGGGAGATTTCTTACGTAAAGTGCAGGAAAGAATATCGACCGAGCTTGGCTTCTTAGAAATGCCCGTCTCGTGTCATTAAAATGCTTGTGAAGTGCAGGCACTTCCTTTCGGTAATCGACCGATAAGGACAGAAGCAGGTTTACTCATAGCTAAATATTCTACTTTGAAAGTTTTGGTTTTATACATTTTTTAGTGTAGATTTAGATCTTCAAAAGTTGTCTTCGTGAGTTATAGTGATGTTTTGTCAATCCTTGGTAGGTCTCATCATTCGAAAGGCATCACAAAGCGGTGTATTCCTGTGTTCATTAAATAGTGAGTCATGTTGTAAAGCAGATGTCCTTTTAAAAGGTAGACGTTCTCTGCTGCATTGTCGGGGAGAAACGCTGGGCGTGGGCGGGGAAATTGGCCAGGATGTGAATTTCACAAAGTCGCAGCTCCGCGGGGGCAGAGGGCCCGCAGCAGCCACATCTTAGCAGGAAGCGCTTTTGTATCGTCCTCTCCAGAGGCGCAGCTTGGGCTCCTTGGTGAGTCACACACAACCTGAAAGGTTCGATCTGCTGGTTACCCTGGATCAGGTTTTTAAAAGTTCTGTAGTTGGAGAGGGTGTTAGAACCCCGAGGCCGGAGCAGCCCGTGGTGGTGGAGGCGTCATGGATTCACACTCACACTCACGCACAGGGGTACCCTTCCTGGCTGTCCACCTTCCTCTCACTCCTGTGTTCACTTTCTCAAATATGTACCGAGCAGGCAGCGTGGGTCAGGTGCTGTGCTAAGCGACGAAAGGCAGCGGAGGACGAGCCCTGTGTCCTCTCCGAGGACGGAGAGGGGGCAGTCCTGTCGCAGGGCCAGGTGTGAGGAGATGGCCAGCGTGGGCAGCTGTGCGGCTCCCACCTCTCGTTGCTGGGTGACAGAAGACCATGCAGCGTTCTCAGTGTGACTGGAGAGAGAATTCCTGTGGCCTAGAATCTTTGAAAATTGACCATGTGTAGAAATAGGACCGTGGCACTAACCGTAGGATCGAAGCCGATTAACTCCTGAAACAGAGTGTTCTGTGTAGCATCTGAACGTCAAGACTTGTCAAGTGAGCTGATATTAACCCAGTTTTTTAGATGCTACTCACTTTCAAAACTGATGAGGTGTAAATTTTGCAATTCTGTAATAACCTGGCGAACAATGAATTTCTTAAAATGTTGCTTTACTTTTTCTTTGTTTAGGATATTGGCCGAGTCACGGGACCTCCAATACTCAATTCCGTAGCTAATGAAGTTTACTTGAATTTTGAGAGCAGTACCCCTTGTTTAGCGGACAAGCATTTCAACTACACCTCACTGATCACGTTCCACTGTAAGAGGGGAGTGAGCATGGTGAGTGCCTCCTGTGTCCAGTCTAGAAGCTCACGTGTGGATTTGTGAGCCTGGGTTGGAAATCCGCAGAACGTGTGTCAGTTCCAAGGATGCTCGGTTCACAGTGTCTGCCTGGAGCGCGTGGTCCGGCAGTAGTGCATCTGAATAATTTAAGGAATGAACTTGGCAGTGAGTAAGCCCACCCTGAATTAACAGAGCAGGTTTTGTGCATAGAGGCTTCCTGTAATTAAAAACATGAAAACTTGAGTATAGGAGTGGCAAACGTGGCCTACCAGTGCATCAAAGGGTCATAACTTCTTTTTTTACTTTTTTAAAAGATTTATTGGGATGACTGGTTAATAAAATTATATCGGTTTCAACTGTAAAATTCAAGAATACATCATCTTTATGTTGCATTGTGTATTCACCACCCGAAGTTAAATCCTCCGTCACCATATATTTGACCCCCTTTACCCTTATCTACTCCCCCGCTCTGGTAACCACTAAACTGTTTGTGTCAGTGAGTGTTTGTCTTGTTTGTTTGTTGCTTTCTGTTTTATATTTCACATACGAGTTGAAATCATACGGTTCTCAACTTTTTCTGTCTAACTTATTTTGCTTAGCATGATAACCTCAAGATCTCTCTCCGTCACCATATATTTGACCCCCTTTATCCTTATCTACTCCCCCGCTCTGGTAACCACTAAACTGTTTGTGTCAATGAGTGTTTGTCTTGTTTATTTGTTGCTTTCTGTTTTATATTTCACATACGAGTTGAAATCATACGGTTCTCAACTTTTTCTGTCTAACTTATTTTGCTTAGCATGATAACCTCAAGATCTATCCATATTGTTGCAAATACCAGTATTTCATTGTTTCTTATGGCTGAGTAACATTCCATTGTACATATGGACCACATCTTCTTTACCCAATCATCCATCAAAGGGCACTCTGGTTGTTTCCATGTCCTGGCCCCGTGAATAATTCTGCAGTGAACATTGGGATGCATATTTCTTTATGGATAAATGTTTTCAAATTTTTGGGCTAGCTACCTGGAAGAGAGATTGCTGGGTCATATGGTAATTCTAGTCTTAATTTTCTGAGGAACCTCCATACTCTTTTCCATAGTGGCTGCACCAGTTTACATTCCCACCAGCAGCGTATGAGGGTCCCTTATCCTCCACAACCTCGCCAACGCTCATTACTACTTGTCCTGACGACAGCCATTCTGGCGGGTGCGAGGTGGTATCTCATTGTGGTTTTGATTTGCATTTGCCTAATAGTTAGTGAAGTTGAGCATCTTTTCATATGTCTGTTGGCCATTTATATGTCTTCTTGGGAGAAGTGTCTGTTCAGGTTCTCTGCCCATTTTTTAATTGGATTTTTTTTGTTGCTGAGTCATTTGAGTTCCTTATTTTGGATACTGGCCCCTATCAGAGGCGTTGCTTGCAAATGTCTTCTCCCATTTAGAAAGTCGCCTCTTTGTTTTGTTAGTTTCCTTTGCTGTGCAGAAGCTTTTTAGTTTGATATAGTTCTGTTTGTTTGTTTGTTTTGCTTTTACTTCTCTTATTCTTTGAGGTCAAATTTATAAAATCTTCTCTAAAACCAAGGTCCAAGAGTTTAATACTTGTTTTCTTCAGTGCAACTTATCATTTCATGTCTCATATTTAGGTCTCTAATCTATTTTGAGTTAATGTTGGTGTCCGGCGACACTATTTTCTACTAACATTGCTGATTTAATTCTTACTGGGAAGTCTGACAGACTTTCGGCAGCCATAGTCACCTCAAATTCAGACGTTAGCAAATGAAAGAAGACCCCGGGACCAAAGCAGGTCCAGCAAAGCCATGCGTGTGACTTCTGAGGATGTTATTAATTTGTTTCGTGTGCATTTAGAAAATAATACTGGCTTCTGTTATAATGAGTACCATTTTGTTACAGTTTTTTTTTGCATGTTTTCTCTTGGCCCCTCTCACTGAATTAGGAGAGTATGGCCCCCACACTCAGAACAGTTGGGTGATGTGCCTGGTGTCACACAGCTCTGCAGTGGCAGCAAGGCCCCTGCCTGCTGCTCAGGAGAAGAGGTCTTTGCTCCAGGCGACCCAGCTGGACAGCCCCTTATGTGTGCTCCTGAAATCCATGAGGCTTAGAGAACTTAGTCCTTTGACGTGAACTGACCGAGGCTACTTGTGGTTTGTGTTTGTCCCACCTAATGCGAACATTCCTACATCTAGCTGCAGAAATATGAATGTGCTTGATCACGACACTGTGCACGTGCGTGCCTGTGTGCGTGCGCCACACACGTGTGTGTGTTTCTGTGGGTGTCTGACGAGGGCGCGCGTGCCTGTGTGCATGTGTGTGTGCGTGCGCCACACGTGTGTGTGTTTCTGTGGGTGTCTGACGAGGAACCCCGCGTACGCTCACACCACCAGGTGATCCGCATCTGCTCGCGTCGTGCTCACACTGCTGGCAGGCCCACGGGTGCTCGCGTCGTGCTCACACTGCTGGCAGGCCCACGGGTGGACGTGCTCTGGACTCCTGCTTGTTCTCAGAGCAGCTGCTCCTTGAGACCGTTCAGTGTTTACATGTTTTTAGAGACAAGGGCTCTCACGCTGAATATTTATTCCAGCTTTGGAAAGATTTTAAAGCTATTTTTTTCCCCTGTGGTTTTTATCTTTAGTGGAAATACTTATTCCACTTGAGTTTCTAGGAAAAAAGATTCTCAGTAGTAATGACAAATGAAATTCCCGACCAGCTGCCTCATCTGTTTTTGTGGCTGTTCTTGGGCAAGGGAATAAATACATGGATTGAAAGTACTTGGCCCGTGCATCGCCTGGCTGTGGAACGTCTTGCCCTTACTGTGGACGTCTCGTTTCTAGAAAGGGTGGCTTGGAGCTCTGCTCGTGAGCGTCGAAGCACTAGGTTTCCCACTTCGCAGTGGCAGGGTCTCGGTGCCACACACTTCTCTGTCATGACACAGAGACATTTGAAGACTTCCCCCCTTTCCTTCTTCGAACTGGTAGCATGGAGCATTGAGACCCTAAGTACAGGGCACGGCCCGGAGGTGGCGAGGGGTCCCGGTGTGTGGCAGGCTGCCCAGCGGAGCAGTGAGCTCAGTCTGGGTGGTTCCATTGGTGCTTACTGTCCCTCCCTTTTGGAGGGAGGGCGCTGGGGGTCCCCCAGAGCAGCTGGAGGTTTGTGGCTGTGGCAGCGGCCGCTTTCTGCAGACCCGGTGGCAGGTCCTGGGTTGGACATCAGGGCGAGGACCCGTGCCTGAGTCACGCCGTTTTCCAAGGCTTGTGCTCTTCTTCCGAACAGGGAACCCCCGAGCTGCTGAGGACCAGCGACTGCGACTTCGTGTTCGAGTGGGAGACTCCACTCGTCTGTCCCGACGAGGTGAAGGAGGATGGCTGCTCTTTGACGGACGAGCAGCTGCTCTACAGCTTTAACTTGTCCAGCCTTTCGAAGAACACCTTCAAGGTAACGCCCGGTGATCTCGGGGGCGGCCACCTGGGTTCTTGCTGATGCTCACTGTGCGCGAGGTGCTGTGATGTCTGTGGCCCCTAGCGGACATGTGGCCACTGTGGCAGTGCATGGCGTGGGTATAGCATCAGCCTGTCGGGGCTTCTGGGTCCTGTGGCTAACCAGTCCCTCCCAGCACGAGCTGTGCCTCCTGGTTCAGGGTGTTTCATTCCTTAGGGCTTTGTAAGGGTTAAATAACCCAGCGAGGTCAGCAGGGGGCCTTAATGTCACAGATGCTGAACGGGAGGTAGCTCGGGACGTGCTCATTACCACGTACACAGAGGCGGGGCCAGGTCAGGGGCAGCTGGCAGAGGCCACGTGGACTTCCAGTCCTTGCTCAGCCCCGCTGTGAGAGAGAGAGAGAGAGAGAGAGAGGCGGCTGTTTTGCTGACCACAGAGGATGGCCATAGGGAGCTAGATGTCCCCCAGACTGGAGATGTGTTTGAGTGAGCTGGGCCCATCTGCCACCAGCCCGCATGGCGTGGGCTGTTCTCTGTGTCCATGAGGCCGTGGGCATCTCTGTCAGTGACGGGCGGACCCCAGATCTCTGGGCCTGTGACCTAGATATCCTGAGTAATACAGCTGTCGGTCGTGCCCATGAGACCCTGGGGACAACAGCCGATGAGGGGTGACCCCTGACTTGTGCGCCCTGGGTCCTGTGACGGAGACCTTGGCCAGGCACAGGCCCCCCTGACAGGTGCGCAGAGGGCAGGGTGGGCGAGAACGGCAAGGTCCATGTCTGATCGTGGAGCATCCACCACGTCCTCGGCATCCCCGTGTCGCAGGTGGGAGACGTGGCTTCAGGAAGGGGGATGAGCAGCTGGAGGTCTCACAGGTGGCCCCCTGCTGAGGACGGCCAGCAGTGCGTGCTGCCACCAGGCGGGGCAGGCCAGGGGGCAGAGGGAGGCGTGGGTCCTGTCTGTGGTCGGAGGGAGATGCCCAGGGAGCAGGCAGGGCGTCGCCCTCCTGGGGAAGGCTGGGACTGGAGGGTAAGAGGGTGAGGTCCAAGGCTCAGGGCACAGCACGCAGGCGCAGTCCGTGCTCCTGCACACGCCACCTCCCTGCAGTGGTGGCGCTGTGCATCCGGAGGCCCATCCACAGCCACGCGTGCTGTTGTCCGTCCAGGTGACTCACGACTCGCGCACCTACAGCGTGGGGGTGTGCACGGCGGCGGCGGGCCTGGACGAAGGCGGCTGCAAGGACGGGGGTGTCTGCCTGCTCTCCCAGACCAAGGGGGCGTCCTTCGGACGGCTGGCGTCGATGAGACTGGATTACAGGCACCAGGACGAAGCTGTCATTTTGAGTTATGCCAATGGAGACCTTTGTCCTCCAGGTAAGTCTCTGCAGTGGGCCGGTGTTTACCTTGCTGGGAACACGGGACAAGGCCCGGCAGTGGGGGAGAGCTGGGAACCAGGCTCCGACCCCTGTGAGCGCCAAGCCCTCAGGTTGGATCGTGGGCGTCCGTCCAGCCATCGGGGACGAGGGCTCAGGCCTTGGAGCTCACTCTGGCCTGTGCCCTGCTGGTCACTGGCCTGTGCACTGCTGGTCACGCTGGCGGGCAGCTGGTGGTCCCGAGGCTGGTTCCGGGGAGACCGCCTGGAGGAGGGCCTCGCCGAGCAGCTCTCGTTGCCCGCACCAGGGAGCACAGCCGGTGCGGTGTTGGGCGTGTGCATCACACCGATGTCCTTCTTCCCAGAAACCGAGTACGGTGAGCCCTGTGTGTTCCCCTTCACGTTCCGCGGGAAGAGCTACGAGGAGTGCGTTGTGGAGAGCAGGGCGAGGCTGTGGTGCGCCACGACCGCGGACTACGACCGTGACCACGAGTGGGGCTTCTGCAGGCATTGTGAGTCGGCGCGGCCTGGGGGCCTGGGGGG